CAGCAAAGCTATGGATTCACAGTTTGAATAATATGTTTCACTGCTGCACAGTTCTATAAATGTTCCAGCCGCTCTGTGACTCAGACGAGGCTGATAGCATGCGGTTGTCAGAAGCACTTGTTCCTGAATAATTCTCTCTGATTCATATATTACTTGAATTATTGGAGACATGTTCACAACATTACCTTTCTGAAGAAGGCATCACATTCTGCCCTTTGTTTTAGAACTCTTTCATGTTAGATTGGTATTCATGCCTCCTTGAACAATCTGTTAAAAGAAAATCAAAGGGGAAAACTAAGCGTCCACATTAGGAGGGTGTTGATAAAAGCTGTCAAGCCAAACAGAAACAAGGTGGACGCTGACTATAAATGTAGGAGCCTCGATGATCATAGGGAGTGCTGGCTGCCCCCGCTAGGTTTTAAACAAGAGATTCCTTTTGTGCATGTGCAAAGGGCGATTGGCCTTGTCTGTAACATGGCTGCACTAATGTCTCATCATTATAACACATCACCATGTCTTTTCCAGATCTGGATACTCTTGTGGACAAGACAGAGGGGGAGATAAAGGACCACATAAAGAGCATGGAGCGCTGGAAGAACATCGAGAAGGAGCAGAACGACGCCATCAACCACGACACCAAGGAGCTGGAGAAGATGACCAACAGGCAGGGCATGCTGCTGAAGAAGAAAGAGGAGTGCATGAAGAAGATCAGAGAGCTGGGCTCGCTGCCTCAGGAGGCCTTCGAGAAGTACCAGACACTCACACTCAAACAGGTACACACACACACACACACACACACACACACACACACACACACACACACACACACACACACATAGCAGAACGCCACTTTCTGCCACGACGGTATCGAGACCCTTTTGTTTTGGTGACCTTACATCCCTATAATGTTGGACAAAGGAAACGAGTGACGCGATGATGACAGTTTGTGCCTTCATATCAATCCTACATGTAATTGGACGTCCTCACAGTACCAACAGATGAGTGGTTTACACATACTGGCGAGCAAAAAAGAAAGTATGAAGCAGGTTTGTTACGTGCTCAGAGGTTACGCCTGAAGCCCGACACTCACCAGTCACAGGACATTAACGTCATCACGCCGACTGCTCGCTATGGATGAAGTTTCCAGAATACGCAGAAACTGAACCAGTGGGCTCAAAGGAAAAATTCCACTGTTTGATTGCATGTGCAACTCCCCCGAAAATGACGGGAAATTATCCCGTTTTGTGCATGTGAGAAAACACGATTAGAGTCGTGCTTCAGTCCGCCAGATTGAATATACATTTTGCTGTTTCTGGTCGTCTCTTCAACAAATGTGTAGGTGTTATGTCCGTCCCTCTAACTGCAAATTATTGCACCAGTTAACCTGCAGGGATTTTCTTTCTGTCCACTGTTATTTGTGGGCATTATTTTTTTTAATTCTTTTATTTTTTGTACTTTATTTTTCCAAAAGTAAAACACCAATGTGACATAGCGAAAAGACATACCAGTATGTAAAGCATACTATAAAAACAAAAACAAAACAATCAAACAAACCAGTAACATCAAAACACCAGTCCAAATTCATATGTCTTGGGTATGTAAACCATCCCACTTAAAAAATAATAACACTAGTATATATAATATTTGTTATGTTTTGTAAACAGTCGACTATCAGTTACTTTTTGCTAGTATTTCTTGTATTTCTAAATGTGCTTTCTCAATGAATTGTGTATGAATGAATCATGTATTATGTCTAAGACATTTGACTGTTTATCTAACATGATTTTTTTACGTCCTTGCGGGCATTAGCGGTGAAACGGATCAGCCATTATCTGTGACAAGTTGGAATCAGCCCCCACAGTTCAGGCCGCACGTGATCCTCAGATTCTCGTGTGATCAACTCTAGCGCTGTGAAACTAAGGCAGTGTGTTGTGCCAAGTCGATCCGCTATACAAAGGAAGACGTTACAGAAACGGGTCATACAGCGTGAAATTTCAAACACTACTTTGTCTTTTCTGCGTTCTCTCTCAACCCGTCTGCTGTCATGCCGACATCAGCTGGTGGCTGCACGTGACAACAATCAGTCGCATCCTATTAACCTGCTGTTGTCTGTTGCTGTTAACTTGATGTTAACAAACTCTGTTACAGAGTGCTGGGTTCACTCCAAAATCTTAAGATGTCGTTTCTAAACGCACGCACGCCGATTATTTTGTCTGACTCGGCACTGCAGCCCGTACAGAGACATGCACACTTCCGCTATGTGACCGGTGTGTTTTTTGGTCAAAAATCTGTGATCCGATCTGAACTGTGGGATTTGTGATCTGTAACAACAAAAGTGGGCATGCAGCGTTGTTGTTTCTTTGTAGGTCTGTTTTTTTGTGAGCTGAAAATGTCTGCGGCTGAAATCGAGGTCACAGTAAGCATTCGAAACCAACATTAAAATAGTAGGATTATATATTTAAAACCCGAACAAAGAAAGAAACTGAAGCTGAGTGGAGCTGCAGGAGGGCGATAATACTCAGACGAATTTTCACTACAAGCTTTTACATCACACATTACAAACAGTCATTTGAGGAATTGAGCAAAAGATAATGCAGGTCTGAGCCCGTCGAGGTGATAAGTGCTCTGAAGGAAAATTGTTAAAGTGCTAGAGGTTAAGAAAGCTGTCTCCGAGCCCACTGTGACCTTTTGGTTAGCGTTGCGCTAAAGACATAACAGCAGCAGCAGCTCTAACAATAGCTCAGTAGGTCTTCTGAAGGTCAATTTTTCTGTGTATCCCATCGTACTATCTGAGTCAAACTGAGGAGTGGGAACACACGCACACACACAGACCCAGGTCTATAAAGCTTGAGGCGGTCACATCCCTCCCACTCACAGTGACTCAGACACCAGTTAGTGCCCTGTGTCCGGGCAGCTCCCTCTGGGTGCAGACTGTGAGCTGCAGGGACTTGGTTGCATCTTTCATAAGTGTCTGAGCATGCACTGTGTGTGTGTGTATGTGCATGCGTGTGTGTCACCCCCCTTACCACCTCCTCGGCAGCGCTGAAAATAGCCCTCACACTTTCTCATAAACACTCCACATACTTAATCTTTCTCCACGGGTCTCTGCTCGGAGGGGCAAGACGCTGCCAGTGATTGCAGAAGTGGATGAGAGGGTCGTGTAATAATGCCTCTCGCTCATGTTTCCTAGGCCATTAGAGATCCAGACGGATGGATTTATAGTTTGGAGAGTGCGTGTTGCCTTTTGAGCCAGGCTGAGCTCGCTCTTAATCACGTCATGCCATCTTCAGGCACAAATAGATTCTGGCAGAGTATTCATGGAGACTTGTTCTGGTGTTTATAATGGATCTGAATTTATGTCCCTTAAGAAGCTCACTCTGCTTCTGTGAGCAGCAGAACTTTGCATATCTGGTGGGAGGATTATGTGCGGCAAGTTAATGATGACAAAGATGATTATCTTTTTTTTAATATACCCTAAAATGACTCACTTTTATGACCTATTTTTTAATCTCAAAGGTGGACTGCGTCCTACAGAATGGTACTAAATGCTGAGACATACACCGTCATGACCGCAAATGCAGCCGGCACCATCATTCACTGCACTCAACATGACGTGATTGACACTTAGCCCCGTTTTTTCCTGTGTTTTGCACAAGGGGCTGCCTCAGTATGCAAAGCATTCTGAAATACGTAGCAACGCAGACGACGCTGGAAGCTTCACATTTTAAACACGTTTCTTCCACATCACAATCAGGGTCAGAAACGTTTTCACTCACTGACCAAGGTAGAAAAAAACACCTCACCACCTGGTGTGTATCTGACTCGGCCCGCATGGCGCACTGATCAGCTATGTTCTGTTGCACTAAGAGTAAACAGGTGTGTGAAGTGGCGTGCGTTCGTGCAGCAATGTATGTTGGTGTGTCTCAGCGGAGGAGCAGGGAGAAGGAGCTGCAGCTACATCAAAATCAAACACACTTAATACTCAGCATAGTTTTTATTCATGAATGTCGGGTATTAACACAACGTTTCCCCTATATGCATCTAGCAGTGGTGCACCACTGCTGATTTTTTTCTTTTATGAGTTTCAAAATAAATGATTAATTTTCTTTGGTAGAATTCTGACTCCTCTTGTGTTTTGCCGTTACCCACTAGCCGGATTATGACAATAGGGTGGTTGTTGGTTGATTATTTTGTCCAACAAATGTGAACAATTATTTTTAATGACAAGAATTTAAAAAAATTGCATGCAACTAAAACATTGTTCCACTTCACCACTGCTGCTACAACTCCAACCTAACCACCGTGTGGCTAATAGATCTGTGAAATGTACTCGCCAAACATAAAATCTGCCCACATTAGACCCTTGATGAGTGTTAATCTCAGACCCGGGTCATGGTCATGCATTTAAAGAAAGGGTGGTATACTGTTCAGTAAGTAAAGCTTGCGGAGTGCTGCAGAGGAGGTGGGCAGAGAGACTCTCATGCTGTGGGTTTCTACTTCACGATCGTCAACACGACCTTATCTGAGAGCTCGAGTAGCATGCGAGTAGCTCGCAGGATTACAACTCCACCTGGTGGAAACCGACGGTACTAAAAGAGCTATACAGCTGCACACTAACTGGCTGTTGTGGACTCCACACAGGAAGACAGTTTTAATGAGATGATGGTGATGTAATCGTTCCTCTTTTCTTCTTTTCAAACTCTCACAGTTGTTCCGGAAACTGGAGCAGTGCAACACGGAGCTGAAGAAGTACAGCCACGTCAACAAGAAAGCTCTGGACCAGTTTGTCAACTTCTCTGAGCAGAAGGAAAAGCTGATCAAGCGTCAGGAGGAGCTGGACCGCGGCTACAAATCCATCATGGAGCTCATGAACGTCCTGGAGCTGCGCAAGTACGAGGCCATCCAGCTCACCTTCAAACAGGTACGTGTCTCGTCAAGAGTGTCCGCACGGGGACATGTACGCTCTGACATCACTCAGATAAATTAAGTATTTCTGATTCTTGTTGCCGTTGTTCCTTATCTGCCCTCCTCAGGTGTCGAAGAACTTCAGTGAGGTTTTCCAGAAGTTGGTGCCGGGTGGCAAAGCTACGCTGGTGATGAAGAAGGGCGACGCTGAAGGCAGCCAATCTCAGGATGAGGGCGAGGGCGGCGGCGACAGCGAGAGAGGCTCGGGTTCACAGAGCAGCGTTCCCTCGGTGGACCAGTTCACAGGAGTCGGCATTCGGGTAAGCGTCCAATCAAGTATTTATTTAATCCATTCTAACCACAACATAACGACTCTGTCACACTGGACCCTCGGGATGTGATAGATTTCTTTTAGTTTGGTCTGGAAACATTTTACATCTGTATTTCCCGAGAACACTCCCTTAGAGATCTGAAGCATCCTCACCGAGAAGAATCAAGGTGAGACCGGTCATGGGCTCATCATCAGAGCTGTCACAGCAGCCTCCAGAAGCATCCAGCTCATCTGTTGGATCGTCTCTCTTCTCTGATCGGAGAGTCACAGCTAAACACAGAATTCCTGTACATTAAACACTTACAGAGGATATCCGGCTCCATTTTAAAAGATGACTCCCACCCCTTAAATAATGAATTCCAGCTCCTCCCGTCAGGACGACGGTATAAAGTACCACCCTGCAAAACAAAGAGATACTATACCAGCTTTGTCCCAGCAGCCATCAGTGAGATGAATAAGACATAATGCAGGAGCAACATTCTTTTGGAGCTTTTTTAGTTTATTTATTAATCTCTGCACTTTTTATCTTGTCTTTCTTTATCTTGTTTTTACTAATGTCTCATTTCTACCTTGCTTTTACTCACCATGTTTTATTGATCGGTGGTAAAATCATGTTCTTATCTCGCTTTTACTTTACTTGACCGATAGTCTCATTTTTATAAATAATAATAAATAATTTATACTTTATTAATCCTGCAAGGGGAAGTTCGTTTTTTACACTTTGTCTAGTGAACATGCTATGCAAACATAGGCCGAAATACACACACATGCACAATCAGGATCCTATGGACATGCACTAATGGAGAGGTCTGAGAGTGAGGTGGCTGCCCACAGTTGTTTTTATTTGTCTTATTCTTACTTTATCTGTGTTTCTTTACTGACGGACTTGTCACTTTATCATGTTTTGTCCTGTGCTGTCATTTTTTGTGTAAAAAGAAGCCGACTCACGCTGCAGACCAAATGTACCTACGGGTACAAATAAAGTTACCTTACCTTCTCGGAACAGAGAATCTAAGTCAGCGTGCGTGTGTGTGTGTGTGTGTATGCTCGAGGTTTAATGACTCCGCCTCCCTCTCCCTCTGTAGGTGTCATTCACGGGGAAGCAGGGAGAGATGAGAGAGATGCAGCAGCTGTCTGGAGGTCAGAAGTCTCTGGTGGCTCTGGCCCTGATCTTCGCCATCCAAAAGTGTGACCCCGCCCCTTTCTACCTGTTTGATGAGATCGACCAGGCCCTCGACGCCCAGCACAGGAAAGCTGTCTCAGGTAACGTGCTGCTTTGAAGACATTCACAGAGCGAGTAACCGTAACGCCGATTGTATCAGACGCACTTTTAAAACCTTTATTTTATTATTATATTATTTTTATTTTTATGTAAATATGAGTCATGGAGGTAACGAGTACCTTAACTTTGAAACCTGCATTGTCATTGATTTTCTTTTGTTGGAAGAAGTATTTTAACCCAAGTGTCAAAATACTTCTTCCAGTAGTCTTGAAAACCTTAGCGACTAACCTTTAATTTTTTAATAAAAGAAAGTGCGTTGCGTCCTTTTTACTGCTGCAACCGATATACCAGAATAAACTGCTGACACGCGCCGCCATTACTGCGAGTGCAGCCGCCACCATCACACACTGCACGCCACCTGATGTGATTAAAACTTCACCACCATTTAGTGTGTATTGCAAGCTCTCCTGGGAAACATAGCAATGCCACTTTTAACGTCTTCTCTCCCTCATTAGGTCATAATCATTACGTAAACTGTTTAGTAAATAAACCGTATGGAGCGCTGGTTTGATTAAAGACTCCTTAATTGGGGTGCTGGTGACGCAGTGGTTATTGTGCACGCCCCATGTTTGGAGGCTGTAGTCCTCCAAGCGGGCGGCCCCAGGTTCGAATCCCACCTGTGGCTCCTTTCTTGCATGTCATTCCTCACTCTCACTCCCTGATTTCTTACTCTATCCTTTCTCTCCATTAAAGGCACAAAGCACCCCAAAAAAATCTTTAAAAAAAGAACTCCTCAATTAAAGTCAACGAGTGACCAGCAGAGTCGGGCAGCACGACTCACTGGGACAAACTCAACATGGTGAAAACACATTCAAGATTCAAGATTTTTATTTGTCACATGCTCATACAAATGTGCAGTGAAATGTAAAGACTGTTCCGCAAGGCCATGCAATAAACACTCAAATTACTGATACACATAAATACAGCAATATATAAATATAATGTAAAGTTAAAAAAAGAAATATTTGAATATACAAAATATAGAATAATGTAAACAGTGTAAAGTGTCTAGGGTGTCAAAGTGCAGATTGGAATGTGTGGTGTGTATGCGTCATGTAGTCACACATGGTACTAAAAGAGCTTAGGGCGCCGGTAGCCTAGCAGTCGGTGCTTGCAAGTCGTTGAGAGCTGGCGGCTTGGGTTCGAATTCGACCTTTAGCCCCTTTTTCCTGCATATTGTTCCCTTACTTTCTCTACGGTTTCTGACTCTAACTCTAAAATAAAAAGACATCAAAATAAATCTTAATAACAGCTGCACAGCCAGGGCTCCCACGTGTCCTGGAAAGCCTGGAAACAGTTGACCATATTTCCAGTCATGGACAAAACCTGGAAAATGAGAGAAGGTGCTAAATGTCCCGGACAGTTTTAACCTTTTTGTCTCTTTGGGAGACCCCTAAAAACCGACTGCGTCTTACTCACCAGTGTGACTTGTATTCCAGGTTTTACAGTTAACGACTCGTTTCCTTGGCAGCAAGAAAAGCTGCAGTGTTGATGCTTCATGACTCCTCTTTCAGCCTTTGTAAAGAGAGCTCCAATCACATCTCTGCGTTGTGTTCATTTCAGACATGATCGTGGAGCTGGCCGGTCACGCTCAGTTCATCACTACGACCTTCAGGCCTGAGCTGCTCGAGTCCGCCGACAAGTTCTACGGTGTCAAGTTCAGAAACAAGGTGAGGCGTGCTGAGGGAGCAAGATTCAGGACCATAAAAGTTTAATGATCTGCACACAGGGAGGGAGGAATCTGAGCAGCGGGACTGAGATTCACAGAGATCGGACACGAAAGCTTTCAATATAACCCCAACTGTGTGCGGTGTTCCCATAAAGAAAGGAGCGATTACGACCTCTTCCTGTTTGTTACTTCACTGTAAACATGAAGCTTTTTAACACGTGGGTAAACGGGGCGTCTGCAGCCAGCCTCAAGTGGACGCTCGAGGAACTGCAACAGCCGAGGTTGTCACTTGGTGTCAGAAACCATTCACAAAAAACAACTGTCTCATCGCTGTTGCCATCGGTTACTAAAAAAGACAAGCAGCTTCACAGGAACGTCTGATTGTTTTTTCAGTTTCTCCCTAAATAAACAAACTGTTGATTGAAGTAGAAAAACAAAATCCTCCAGAGTTTGTTTTGTTTCATAACATTCATAATAACAGCTCAATCAGAGAGTCTGAAACAAAAGCTTTGATTATTCATTAACTCTGTGTGTGTGTGTGTGTCTCTCTCTCTCTCTCTCTGTGTCTAGGTGAGTCATATCGATGTGATCACCGCGGAGCAGGCCAAAGACTTTGTGGAGGATGACACCACACATGGTTAACCGTCTTCAGCTCCTCCTCCTCCTCCTCCTCGCCCCCTCCTCCCCCCCAGTGCACTGCGTAACTCGAAGCCTTTTTCACATCAAGGTCCAGAGACAGAAATATCTTCATCGATCCCCCAGCCTCTTTTTTTTTTTTTTTTGCTTTAGTCCTTCTTTTAAATATAAACAACGCAGCCACGCCGAGCTTCATGGACCAATCGCTACAGCTGTAGATAAATGTGATTTCCCCCGCTCTAACTGACGGACATGTAGTACGGATACTTTCCACATTCACAGTTCGATGAAACACGACATTAAGAGAGAGAGAACCCTCTGTGTGTTTGAGGAGATTCTGATCGCCTTCTGACGACGACTCTCGTACCTTTTTGTTACGGTGTTTTTCTAACAGACTTTTTTGAACGTTTTCTCTTTTTAATAATTTGTGACATGAGAAGCTCTTCGAGGTGTACAGTCGAGAGTGGCTGAAGTGAAACCCTGAAGAGGAGCAGAACCCTGAGGGGGTCTCAAACCCGTCTAGACGTTGTTTTGCTTCTGTTAGCGTTCACCTTAAAGGTTACTGTCATGTAAACTCTTTATACTTGCTCATAACCACGCGCTGTTTGAAACGTTGAAAGTTCCTTTTTATGCTCGTTACTCTGTATCGTGTTATTCCTCTTCGTTTTTAGAGTCGCTTCAATCTGTGAGAAGTTTGAGTTCCATGATCCACGCTTTGTCCAGTTTGGAAAAACAAACCGGCTCCTTTAAATCTTTAAAAACAGAAACGATTCACCCTCATCTGATTGGGCCCTGTGGTGACGCACGCCACTCCTCTGAGGGATCAAAGGTCTTGTTTGTATTTGTCTTTTTTTTCCACGCTGGATCCATCGTCTGGAATCAAACGGCTCACACGTTGAAGCTCGTATCAGGTTTTTAAAAATGTTTCTGTTCCTTTTTATGTAATGAGAAAAAGTTACAAAAATAATAAAAGATCTCAAAGTTAAACTGAGTTTGAGTCTGCTTATTGCTGTGACCACCACTAGGTGGTGCTATGGCGCTGCACACTGCAACAACTGAGCAGGAGTTTAATGCAAAGCACCTGATTACACTTTGATATGAAACTCTCACCTGATTGGTCCAGATTAACGTCTCAGGTAAAGAGAGAAAAGTGTTTTCACTTTTGTCTCGACTTTAGTCGGCTTCATATTTAATTAACTTTTTCTACACGGAGCTCAGTTCACTGAAGTCCTCGTGTCACATGAACGACACTCAAAAGATTCCTTTAAACTGAAATGTCTGAACGTTGTATTTAAAAGGAATTTAGTGACTATATTAGTAAAACACTGTTCACTTTGTCACAGAGATATCAACACAGGAGGTCAGATCTGTTCAAGAAAAGTTAGTTAAAATTAAGACGTTAGAAATATGAAGACAGGAGGCGAAAAGAAGCATAAATAGTAATTCAATTAACAGAAGTGAAAGAGATCAATAAATACTGAGTATGAAGGTCAAAGTTCTGAGCCCAAGAGGAGACATGGAAAAGGTTATTTTGTAAACACTTGCACGCTTTCTGTTTTCCTGTTATATGAATTATGAATGAGCATTTAAGTAGCTTACATGCACATCTTCATTAAACAAATAATTTCTTTATCTCGATCTTATTGCAAGTTACTAAAACTGAAGCGTGTATACAAATAAATAGCATGAATTGTGAGCACGTGTTGATAAAGACGCACTCGCAAGAAGAAGAAGATCTGCTTTGTTGATCCCGCAAGGAGAAAATCAATCACGCATGCACAAACGGGATCCTGTGGCCTAATGGAGAGATGTTAAGGTGAGGGGTGGGGTTCGGTGCCGTGATCAAGAGCACCTCCACAGTGCTCAGGAAGTGAACTAGCACCTCTCCAATTACCACACCAACTTCCGAGCACAGTCCGCACCGGGACCTGAACTGGCGCCCCTCCAGTTCCCAACCCGCTACACGCAGACGGAGCTACCGCCGCCCAAAACAAATCATGTTCTCCTCCTCAAAGCATCCGCAAAGGAAGCCATGTTACTAAACTTACTAAAAGAGTTTAAAACAGGCATGTGAAAAAAGAAGAAGACTCGTACCAAACACAAATGTGCAGAGGTAGATAAATACTGAGTATAAAGAAGGTCAGGTGTGCGCGTGAATAAATTGCGCGTGCAGATAAATACATTGTACATGTGTCTTAATAAATAAGTGCGTACAATTATTCTAAAACGTGGTTGAAATAGAAAGCACACAAGTAGGCTATTTTAGAAAAAGAAGTTATCCATGTCATCTCCCGGGCTCCTAAAAAAGAAGGAATTAACATAAAAAATGTAAATCAGAGCGCTGGTGGTTCAGTGGTTAGTGCGCGGGCCCCATGTATGGAGGCTCCGGGTTCGAATCTGACCTGTAGGTCCTTTCCAGCATGTCATTCCCCACTCTCTCTCTCTGGTTTCCAACTCTATCCACTGTCCTATCTCTCCATTAAAGGAAAACAAATAAATCTTAAAAAACAAAACGTGCAGAGATCAATAAACACAGCTGCCTTTAGTTGACCTTTTCAGATCATTAATGACGACCATTTAGATAAATCCAGTGAAGGAAGCCGCACGCAGCTTTGGATTGGTCGTCGAGGCAAAGCGAGGATGGCAACAGTTTGACGTCAAGGTCAGAGTGTGGCCCTCGTCTCACAGACACAACACCTGTGTCAGATCTTGTTTTTGATATCAATGGTCCTGTCAGGTTACAGTGAGCTGGGGGAGCTCCCACATGTCACACATACACGACTGTAATCCTAGTGAAGCATCAGCGCGCTCTGGCAGCGGAGCGGAAAGGTCGTGACCTCCTGCTATGGATTCAGAGACCCCTGTTGTAATACCGCAGACCTCCAGAGCATCTGGTCCACTGCGACTGCCAAAAGACTTTCATGGTAGCTGACGTCAGAGTTTTTAACCTTTGGAAGATGAGGAACTCAAAGTGTGTTTTCATCATTCATCATTTCTGACTTCCTGCTTATCGTTAAAGTCGTTCTTCTCCGACAGCTTCCTCAGAACAGAAGACATAAAAACTCTAAGTTAGAGTCCTCTTCCTGGTTTCCTCATTTACTGATTTGAACAGAACTCAGCACTACCTTTTTACTTTGTCTCACTCTGATATCGTTTCACTTTATTTGACTAAAAACACCTGGTTTCAGTCTCGCCCTGCTATGGTCTTGTCTCAGTCTGGATCCCTAAATGTCTTGGTCTTGTCTCGGTCCTGCCCTGACTTGGTCTTGGTCTTGGTCTTGGTCTTGGTCTTGGTCTTGGTCTTGGTCTTGGTCTTGGTCTTGTCTCAGTCTGGATCCCTAAATGTCTTGGTCTTGTCTCGGTCTCGCCCTGCCCTGACTTGGTCTTGGTCTTGGTCTTGGTCTTGGTCTTGTCTCATTCTGGATCCCTAAATGTCTTGGTCTTGACTCGGTCTCGCCCTGCCTTGGTCTTGGTCTTGGTCTTGGTCTTGGTCTTGGTCTTGGTCTTGGTCTTGGTCTTGGTCTTGGTCTTGTCTCATTCTGGATCCCTAAATGTCTTGGTCTTGTCTTGGTCTTGTCTCATTCTGGATCCCTAAATGCCTTAGTCTTGACTCGGTCTCGCCCTGACTTGGTCTTGGTCTCGGTCTCGGTCTCGGTCTTGGTCTTGGTCTTGGTGTTGTCTCATTCTGGATCCCTAAATGTCTTGGTCTTGTCTCAGTCTCGCCCTGCCTTGGTCTTGGTCTTGTCTCGGTCTTACAGCACTCTGGTCTCGGTTAATGTGGTCTTGACTTTAACACCCTTTAGTTTAAGACCTGTTAGATGATCATTTAGAATAAAGTAGATATAAGCAGCCAGTATGCTGCTAATGAGCATGCTAATACGCAGCTAGTTAAAGGTGAATATTGTGACCTTATTTAAAGTGTGACCCTGATGCCAGGATTCTGACTTCAGAGTGAGTAGCCTTAAAAAAGTCCGACCCCACTGTGTGTTTCTCTTCAGTGGTCCTAATCGTCTCCCGTAGCAACTGAGTGGATTTGTACGTTTTGTTTTTCAATGCTGACACTTTGACTCCTCTCCTCTTCTCACCCGTATTGTGTTTCCTCTAATCCGTGTCTCCCTGCTCGCTCTCCCCTCTCTCTTCTCTCCTCAGACGATAAACACCGCGTCTCTTTGACCACCAGCCCGCATTGCTGTGCGCCTGCCTCCCTGCCCTCTGCTCTCAGACTCTGAAGGACTCACTAATTAACAGATAATTCCAGGTCCCATAATCAAGCTCCTTATCATAAAAAAAGGCATAAAGCTGTCCTGGTTTTTACAGTCAACAAGTTAATTTGTTGTCTAACAGGTGCTTATTTACTGCGGCGGGGGGAGGAGGGAGGGGGAGGAGGGAGGAGGAGGACTGGGCTGAGAACAGATTGACTCTGTCCTTGCACTTGCATGGTGGTCCATCTGCTGTGCATGCCGGACAGCCTCGCTATCTCTCTCTGCTGCTCAAGAAGCACCTCGTATCAGTCTGATTTATGTGCATGTCACATGATCAGTCAGCCTGCCTGTCTCTCTGCCTTCCACAGACATGTAACCGTGGTCGTAGTCAAAGTTACAACATAAATGTAACTACCCAAAGCTTTAGAAACTGGTTCATGTAGTCAGTAAGTACATCCAAACGTGGGCTGACAGAGATCAAACTGAACATTCTTATAAATACCTCGATTCTTAATCGATAATTCGATCTCTTGTAAGCTTCATATTCAGCAAAACAAAACGGCTTGTGGCCGCCTCTGGTCCATTACCGTGAAGTTTAATATATGCATGCATCTTCTCAATGCCTTAAAGGTCACATATTGAAAAAGAATCCACCTCACCATGTTTCTCTAACTCTAACATGTGTCTCTAGTCTGTCTACAAACCCCCCAATGATGAGAAAGTCCATCCTCTCTGTCTTTTGCCTGCTCCACTTTTCAGAAATGTGTGCTCAAACAGGCTGTTTGGAGATTTTCCCTTCATGACATCACAAAGGGCACTCCTACACCTTGGTGTTTGTTCTGCCTCTGAGTCTGCTTCTCTCCGTAAACAATAGGACATGGGTTGTGTCCGAAATCACTCCTATCCACTATAAAGTGGACATGCCATTTTGTAATGCTGTCCGAATTCTGAGTGAGCATGGTCATACCCTATATAGTCCACTCAATGTATCCCACAATGCATTTTGAAAAGTAGTGTATGAGCGATGGTCACTATGCGAGCAATATATACCATCATGCATTGTGGTTCAAAAGATTTTTACGAGCGGAGAGTGGCGTTTGACTCGGCTGCTCTCAAACGGACGAGAGGAGCGAGCAGCATGAACACAGAAACTCAGTAAAGTTCATATTCAGAGCGTTTTACTGAAATCTATGATCAGTTTTAATAAAGATTAAAGATCGTCAACTTTTGTGATGTTAGTTTGTCCTCATGATGATGACAGACAAGAAACCAGAGTCTGTGATCTTAAATAATTTAGTTTTGGTCCGAAAACATGTCTCATTTTGTAAATTCAATATTTTACAAGTGTATAATATAAGTTATCACGGAAATTCATGCTGTTATTTACCATTGTTATTGATCTCGACCGTTGTTAAGCTGCGCATTTCAGTTGCGCGACAACAATGAAGTCACTGTCAGCGGCCGGTGAGTGAGCAAGTAGTGTCGCGAAATGTTTTTTTATTTTGCTGAGTGAGTGCACTATATAGTCCACTGCATTAAACTCACTATATAGTG